AGCAAAAGCTCAATCTATAACAAAGAAAAGCAAAGCAAACCAAAGCAAACAAAACTCAACCAAAAACAAAACAAAACCTTAAGGTCAGCAGCATTCTCTTGCTGCACATTTAGCAGCACAGACCTACAGCCTGTGGCTGGCCTTGCAAACATGGTAGGAAGGCAGTCAGCTATTGTGAAAAGCCTTCTCAAAGCTAGTACAGCCATGCCTCCTTCAGGATTTGTAGGTCAAGCCTTCTCTGAGACTAACAATGAGACATTTCCTAGAGCAAACTTTGTGCCCCTTGGGAAGCTTTTGATAAATTATCACCCACTGCTGATCCTGTAATGTCTTGGTCACTATTTGATTCTTTCAGACACTTCTGTGCATACTGGAGACCCAACAAATCCATGGGCAGCATCTGAGTGCCCATTAACATCAAAGATGCCTCAGGTGTCTTCTGTAAATCCTTTCTCAGGACCAGTCGCTTCAGGCCGGGCTGTGAAACTGAAGAATAACTACTCATTTTACATATGGAGGAAAAAATGACTAACACAGAAAATGATGGACTGTGGAGATCTCTTTGGTGCATTATCTTCAGCAACACTGGTGCACGACATGGAGTCAGCTTCAACACTGGACTGGAGAATGAAATATGATGCTTTTGGGTGTGGTCTGTCAGGAACAGCTTGACATCAACACAATCTTCCATAACACATTTCACACTGCATAGGGAGGGCTGAGAACTCAGTCAGCTTGCCAAAGCCATCGACATTAAACTGTCAGAAAATGTCTTGTTCACCACATCTCTTCCTTCCATGTTGTACTACCCCTCACAGTGGCCACTTGCTGTTGAATGTCAGGGTTCTCAGTAATTCTTGGCTCAGATTTTCTGTGTTTCAAGCTCATTTTTGGTTGCTTTCTTTTCTTTGAGACGACTAAGTCAGCAGACCAATGGATCTGTTGGGGCTGGATCACCTAGAAGACAGCTAGTATTTTCCTCACTGGTGAGTTCACAGCTCTAAAGGAGTGTCTTCTGAAGAGGAGGCCTTGATTTCAGAGTATAGAATGTCATAGGTTCAAGGCATCTGTGGTTTCTTTGGCCTCCTCAGTTCTCCCAAGATCTGCTATATGAGAAGGAAAGGCATTCAGACACAGAAGCAGTCTGGCTGGGCCACAGGCTAGAAAAAAATCAAGACCTATTCACACTGGAAGACAAGGTCAAGAGCCCCCAGTCTCCCACCAATGCCATCTTTGCTGGGGATGGGATGCAGTGGTGGCTCACTTGCCTGTGAGACTTAGTGCTCCTGCTGCAGCAGCTCTGTCTGCAGGAGGCTCTCATCCTGGGCTGTGACCTGTTCAAAGTCAGATTGGAGATGGTCTAACCTAGAGGAGGAAGGCAGTTAGGGAACAGGCCTGGTAGGGACCTGCTATGTCAGCTGTTCAGCCTGAACCAGCTCTAGTCAGCTGGACAGTCCAGCGCGACCTTTCAGCTGAGGTCATTTCCTGCATTCCCCAAGGGAGAAGGTTCAGAGTGTACCTGGGCCTTGATTTTTTTCTCAGCTTTTAAAATCTGCTAGAAGATGATCTGAGAACTACACTGTGCTGGGCAAGAAAATCAGGACATTTCTTCAGTTGTCTAGATATATTATTTTGGAAAAAAGTAACAGTGTAGTAGCAATGTCTGAGTAACAGTTCAGGGCAGATATACATGGCCTTGATTAGATACAGGTGAATGTGAGCAACCTGGGAAATTGAATGTAGACCCTCTAGGAGAGCCTACAAAAGAAAAGCAGTGAAGGATCTGATTATTGTTAAAGAACAGAATCCTGCCTCAGTTCAACTCAACTCCTAAATCTTCTTATAACAGAATAATCTTTTCACAGGAAACAATTCACACTGCAGAAAACCTGTATCTGCAGGAGTGTGCTACATGTAGATCTGCCCAAAGGTAGGAACTTCTCTCTAAAGGTGATGTTCAGGAAGGAAAATAAAGTGGCAGGAGCACACACTGTCCTCCATAACTAACCCTCCTCCTGCTAGGTTGAGGACTACCATAGGGAGATTTGTGGGGAGAAACAGGGGACACTGAGAAGATTCCTGAGAGCTCAGAAGGGCATAAGGGGCACACAACCCCAGAAACACTAAGGATCAAATATAGTGTTTTCTGGAGAGGTTCTTGTTGACCAGGCCAGTACAATATCCTGAGATGTTCTTTCCCTTGCTGTGGCTGGGAGCTTTTCAGATGGTGGGAATCCCAAAAGGACAGAGATCACCAGGGACAGGTGACATACATGGTTCTAACTTCTCTCCCAGCTTGGGCTCCTACCTCATCTCAGACACATTGAAGTGATGTTGCAGCTTTTCTGCCAAGTCCTCTTGCTGGGCGACCAGCTCCTTCTGCTTCAGCAGGTCCTTCAGTCTTTCATCCAGGCTCTCTTGCTCCTGTTCATGAGAAGACTGTGTTCTCAGTAGAGGCTTGCTCGCTCGCATGCACACACATAAATTCATGAACACACACAAGCACATGTATGCACGCATACAAGCACACTGTAATACACTAACATATTTAGCTTCACAGTTCATGCTAACATAAGAAGCAACCACCAGGGATACTAATGAAAAGAAGGTAAACCTGTTGGATGGGAGAAGAACACAGAGGGCAGGAGAGATAGGCAGTCACTGAAGTGCCTATTCTATAAACTAATGCACAGACAGGTAGCCCTCTGGGGTCCTCACCCCTTAGCCAACCCTGCTTAAGAAGTTCCCCAGGCTGTACAGTATAGGAATATTTGGTGGACTACCCCACTGGTCTTGTTCACTGTTTACCAGTTGCCCCCAAAGGGAGCAACTTCCTTCAAAAGGGGCTCCCTGTACCACAGGTTGCCTCACTTTGGACCAAAAGCGAAGAGCTCAGGAAACTAGAAAATCTCCATAACCCAGATCCAAAAGAAACAGTTCCTTCCTGTGAGGTGATTTGCGAGGGATTTGTTTGAATAGCAAAAGGCTGAATAAGTCAGTGCCAAATGATTCTATGTATTATTTTATGCTGAACAATATTCCATGGAAGAGCCTGACCACATTGTGCTTTCTCAATCTTTGAATGATCAAAGTATGAATGAAGCATCACGAGGCTACTCTCAGGAATGCTGATAAACCCCTGATGTCCCCTAGCTTCTCTGTGGACACCTACTTCATGATCTGGCATCACTGGGTCACCTGTGGATTGCAGTTTAACTTTCTGAAGACTTGTGTGTGTCTTCGCTCTGTGCTGTACAATTTTACACTACCAGGAATGTCTGAGAGTCCTCATTTCTCCAAACCCTCCATGAGGCTGATTTTAACTCCGAGTAAACAACTTTGAAGAAAAGAAGTTACTGAGTGCTGCAGACACAGCCCATGGCGAGTGCTTTAGAACCTTGGGAATCTAAGTGGGGTGCACTGAAACAGTCCCATTCTCACACCACAGCATGGCTAGGGGACTTCTGCAGGACTGAGATGCAGCTGGAAGCATACTGCAAGTCAGAATCTCTCAAGGACTAACATCCAGCCTAAGTTCCAAGGGCAAAGTTAACTGAGCCAAGGTTAGGGAAAGGGGAAAAGCAAGTGGTAGCAGACAATGTGGATGAGGACAAAACAGGATACAGAGAAGACACAGCAAGCCACCTGACCATTGAGTGTGCAGTCACCATTCACCCAGAGCAGAGAAGGACTCAAACCCTCAGCCAGCCTATCCTGCCTCTCAGACACCTTGATTTGCCACAGTGACCTCCTCCTAAACGCCATGTACCACGTTCCTTTGGTTTGCTCCAAGGATTTCTGGGCAGATAAATATCTTTGCCTCTACAAATACCTGAAAACCATTGAGCTACAGTAGTTTTTGTGTCCCTTTGTTCTAGTGAGCTAGGTGGACATGCGGAAAGATGGGCAGCAGCATACAATATTTGATGGATGCCAAGTGAGGGGGCACAGTACTTTTTCAATAAAGTTGGTTTCATCATCATTAAAGATGAGTAAATGAACATACAAAAATTCAGAAACACACACACACGAGAGTTTAAACTCCACACATAAAAACACACTTGCACCTATAAGCACCTGTACTCACAAACACAAATACTTACCCCTATACATACAAGAAACATGGACACACACACACACACACACACACACACATATACACTCAACCACACATGGTCACAAAGGAACACTACTGTGCAAGCAGTAGACAGTATTCACATACAAACACACACATAGAAGTTCACACACACATACACACAGAAAAGCACAGAAAAGCACAACACACCACATACCACACCCCCAACACACATACACAGACACACACATACACACACACACACACACACACACACACACACACACACACACACAAACATGCAAATACTTCCTGAACCTAGAATGGTCACTGAGAGGATTGCTGCCTTGCAGCCCCTTTTCTGATGCATGTAGAGGTCGTGGGTCCTCTATGCTGTCTACAAGGCTCTTAGACTCAGCAAGGCACTGCTATTCTGGCCTGCACTTACTTTTCCTTGAACGAACTTAATCCATCAGAAAACCCCCTGACCCCACATTTTCCAAGTTCACCCATCATAGTCTCTTCACTCAACTTATCCTGGCTCCTCCACAGATGACCTTGATAACCAAGAGCAAGAAAGTGACCAATGGTCAACACCCAGGAAGTTTTCAACAGATGACAGTGCATATGATATGAATTCAGCCCAATGTCAGTCAGAAGGAGGCCAGTGACATCACCTGCACTGCTTGTCAGGAACCCAGCACTCTGCACAACTATGAGAGGGAATCTGTTCTGAGACACAACCATGCACATGATATAGTCAGCAACACAATGTCAGCAAGGAGATGCACTGTGGGATTCTCGGTTGAGAAGCCAGAGACAAACCAGACATTTCCTGTGGTCTTAGCTCTGTGCAGTGAAAGGAAGAAGCCTACTGTTTATTTTTAAATAGATTTATTGTTTGATTTTGTTATTTATTAAAAAACACATTGGTATCAAAACAATAAAAGTAAATAAACAAAAGAGAAAGCAAATACGTCCTTCCTCTTTCTGAGCAATTGAAACTTCTAACATTGGATGAGAAAAAAAAAACAAAACAGAAGGTCTACTTTGGAGGACAGGAGATCCAAAGAGTGCTGGCCAGCCAGATTAGCCCAAACAGAAAATTTCAGGTGCATTGAAAGCCCTGGGACCAAGGGAACAAGGGAGTGAGCAACAGATGACAACACGGAATTTCATTATGTAGTCTCTGAACACACCAACCAATGTACACATTTATACACACCTGCATAGGTCACACACAGACCACAGAAATCAGAAGTGAGCAGAAAAAAGTGAAGAGTACATAATGCTGAATGAACAGTTGAATTTAAAATATGCACATCAGGTGTTTCAACTTTGAACCAAAACACGGCTATCCATCCCTTGGGGTCTAGAAAATTCCTAGCAGAGCACACAGCTTAGTCAGACTATGTTGAGGGGATTGGAGAAAATATTTTCTTGCAGCTTCAAATCTGTCATTTCAACCCTCAGCCTGTCAAAGTCCTCCCACATCTATGGTCATCCAGTCATCTCCACACTGGAAGCTCCAAGATGGGAGAACAGTCAAGTACCATGCCCAGAAAAAGGACTGAGAAGGTGCTACTCAGACATCTGTCACTATGAACCAAGAGCTTGGCAAAAGGAAGAGAACTCATTGGGATGCAGGAAGAAAAAAGAAAACCACATGCCACCCAAAATGTTGACAATGAGAACCACTCACTTGGCACTGGGGCTGGACTCTATTCCTTGCAGGCTGCTTCCTACCTGTGATCTCACATGACCCTTGCAAAGCAAATGAGCCACAGGCCACTGACATCATCAATGAAAGCTTTGTGCTGTTCCCTAAAGAGATCCCTGCATAGCAGCCCTCTGATCATAATGACATGTAGGTGTGTGATATGTGACTGACTGACCCAGCTCTCTCAATGTACTGCAGCTTCTAGCAGAGCAGGAGGTTTTGCTTGACAATTATCCAGATTCTTGCAAGAGGCTAACTCTCCAAAAAGACTTGGGAATGATCACAGAAATGAACAATTGGATGGTATGTAGGTGTGAGTCTGGATGGATGGGTGGATGGTTATATGGGTGTCTCTATGTTTATGGTTGGACAGGTGGGCACCTGCCTCCGCTGCCTCAGCTTACCTGCTGCTGCTCAGCAGAAGGGTCACAGATGACCTCATGAGCCTCCTTCAAGAGCCTCTTCAGCTCCTCACAGGACTCTTGTAGCTCAGTCTGCTCCTCCCACAGCAGTCTGTTCTTCAGTCTCAAAACATGTATATTTTCCTTCAGCTCAGTGCAATCTCGGAGGACCTGGTCGTGGAGGTAACTGAACAACAGCCAAACACGGTGAGCCCTAGTCAGCCTCCTTTGCCATTCCTACCTCCAAGTACCACCAGCACTGAAAAGTCCCAGACCCCCAGAAAGCCCAAGAATGTAGTTCTCAGTAGCCAAGCCAGCATCACTTAGATAGAGGCCAAATCCAGAGAGTAACCAAATTCCAGAAAGATTCAAAGTACTTCTGAAAACCCCTGATGCCAAAAGGGATCCTGTCCCCCTGAGAACAAGGTGCAGCCCACAACTGTGTTTAACTGTTCATGATACTGGGAAACCACCAGCAGGTAGAGGGCAAACACTCTCGGAAGGAGGGCAGAAGTCCCAACCAGAATCAATTCTGTCCTTGGCTCCCTTGGAAACCAGCTCTGTGAAGCCCTGGTCAGAGCCCCAGAAGTACTAGGATACCTGACACTCCCTTCATGGTGCAAACCATTTGTTTTTATCAAGGGGCTCCTGAAGCTGGCAGGACATTGTTTGGAGGGGAACAGTGTCTTTTCACACTTAGCAAAAGTGAGTCCAAGAGGCACAAGGCCAAGGACCACATGTCAGGCTGCTTGCTAAGAGGCAGACAGGCAAGAACCGGAGCTCTTACTTTGGGTCAAAGAGAAAGGTGGATGAATCAGTCCCTCCCAAGATAAATCAGGCACATACCTGTAGGATACATTCTCCTCAATCAGCTGTTTGACCTTGTTCACACCGTCACTGACCTCCATGGGCATTTTCTGCAAGTCCGACATCACCTGCTTATGCTCCTTTTTCAGCATCTCAAAAGAATTCAGCCTGTGGTAGGGCATGGCCCCAGGAGAAAAGGACCCCATGAACACAGGCCACAAGTATCATATGGAATCAGGCTATGCTCTGGACTCCTCAGTGCCATGGAAGACACAGCCTGGCACTTATACACTGGTACCTCCTGGTGCTTATTAAACTTCCTATCATGTCCTCAGGCCAGAAGAAGAAGGTTGTCCAAGGAAGTTATAAAGGGATGCATGAACACCCTCAGTGGACTTGAAGCTATAGATTATCTAAGAAGATCCCAGGAGTCTGTGCCACATATCTGGTGCCACTGGAAACCTATGGTGATATTTTTCCTGTCTTCACAACAGGTATCCCCATGCCTGGGTACTGCTCCTTATACACAGAGGACCAGAGCATACGTTGAGTATTTCCAGGGAGGAATCCCAACTTCAGGAAGACTTTATAAACTCCACAGGGGATTCCAATGTTCCACCAAAGTGAGAACAGTGGCCAAGACCTGAGCTTCTCAAAGTGGAGCTCTCTGGCGTCATCACTGGCATCCCCTGGAAAATGTAAAAATGGCAAATCCTCAGGCCCTGCCACAGACCCTAGAAACCCAGGAGTATACACACACACCCTCCTGCCCACACACACACACACACACACACACACACACACACACACACGCACACACACACACACACATACCACATATACTCAGAATGCACATGAAACGCAGGGAGTTTGCACTGTCTCAGAGTATAAGGAGGAGCTGAGAAAAGCCTCAGGCAATTTCTTCCCCCACACACAAACACACCACATACAGTCAGGATGCCCATGATATGCAAGAGGTGGAACTGCCTCAGAGTATAAGGAGGAGGACAATGGAGAAGTAGTGAAAAGCATCAGGCCTTCCAGCCACAAACTGAGATGGATGAATGGGACCAGGCCCTCCAGCAGCTGCCAGGAGCCTTCAGCACACAATCATCTGCTGGTCAAGTACAAAGACTCACCACAAACTCACAGGACCTAGCATCTCCCACAAGCCAACCCCTGCCAAGGCCTCCTGAAATGCATATTGAGAGCTCACACACTACTGTCCCTATCCTCAGACTCTGGTTCAGGTCACAGGCTCTGCTTTTCATTTGGATTAATTGAATGGCCTGTGTCCCCATCTCATACCTACCAGGTTCCAAATTCTGCCTCACCAGTGTACTCAGGAAAATTAGTTTAGACACCAGGACACCCTAGAGGTTCAGCCTCCTGTTTCTCAGGAAAGCTTAGGTAGACACTGTGGGGTCAAGATGGTCAGCAGAGACCTGCACATAATGACTACCTATTCTGCAAATCCTTGTCTATATAACTGCCCAGGATTCCATGCAGTTCAATTTGCTCGTATGTTGTACTCTGTAGCTGAAGGGTGAGTTTCTCCAACTTTGTCATCTGCTGCTCCTGCTCAGTGTAGTTGGAGGTTTGGGTTGGTGACTTCCCAGTAGTCCCTGCAGGAAGATAAAGCAAAGTGAACTTGTACACTTGAATGGCATAGGGCCAGGAGAATCCATTCCAGTCCCAAGAGGAAGTCCGAGGAAGAGGAAATGCTAGGGACACACTGAGGGCCCCAGAGAGTAGGGCAATTATCCTCAAATTGGTACCCATGACCGATGTATCTGTCCTCAACCACCATGGCTAGGCATGTGTCTCCCTCTCTAATGCAGTCCCCCTGGCCCTGGAAGGCATAAGATAGCCCAGCCACGTAGATTTGGAGGACAGTGTCAGCTCATATCTGATGTGATGCTGGTAAGTCCTATTGTCCCTAGAGCTTAGCAGTACTAAGTCCTGATCACATGTGTCCAGGACCAAAGTATCTGAATGTCTGAGACTTTGGTGCTTGGCCAGGGGACTTTCCCTCCCTTCTTATTGGCATCAGATTCCCATGGAAACTGATGGAATCCACTAGGATGAAGTGCAGCAACACCCTACCCAGAGAAGGACACCTAATTAGTCACCACTTTGTTCCTGCTGGCCCTTCCTCTCCACTCAGAATGAGATTAAGGATGTCCCAGAACAGCCACTGCAGGCTTGAAAATCCATGGCTCTCCCAAACTACCCATCAGAAATTGTTGACTCTGGCCCCACTCTTAGGGCACCCAGAGAAGCAGGATAAGCCCCCCGTTTCCCAGAAATTCCCAGATGCTAAGCCCCAGTACTGGAAGGCCCAGCTCAAGCTCCACCTCCTCCAGGAAGCTCCCCACCCCTGCTCAGGACTCACTGTGCCTTCCCCAGAACCATTTATTTCTCCATGTTTTACACTGAGACTGAAGCCCAGCTTCCTTCTGCCTCTCTCTGGTCTTCCCCATGTTCTCCATTCTCCCTTCCAAGCAGCCTTCTCAGTCTTGCTGACATGTCTATGGGCAGTGGAAGAATACCCCACAGTCACCTGGTGTTCCCACAACAATGGTGACATCAAGAGAATGCCAAGGACTCCCCAGAATTCAATAGCTCATCATGAGAAGGAACTATTGGGTTCACCAGCAGTAGCCCTCACCTACCTACAAACTACATCTTCTGCAATTCACTGGAAGCCATACTGCCCTTCCCAGGATCCTTCCCAAAAACACAACGGAAGACCTTCATCACCTCCTCATTACAAACCCAGGGATCTTTTGCTTCATTAGAATTTATTCACTACTTCATGTACAGGAAGTTGAAGACACACTTCCAAACACATCCCAGGAAATGGCTCATCCAACTCCTGAAACCTCTAGTCAATAACACAAGAAAATAAGGTTTCTATGTAACTAAGTAAGGATGGTGGGGAGGAAAGTTCAGTGCCCTGAAGGCAACCAGCACATTCTGGAGGATCCACAAAGCTGTTAGTGTGGTGGGAGATTGTGGGTGTCTTGTCTTGTCAGAACAAAGATGAGTCCCAGAGTTGATGAAAATTACCCCTAACTTCAGCAGATTTCATTCCAGCCATTGTAGATACCAAAAGTGTTATTAACTAATGACATGTCTGCCTGGAGATATAAGAACCAGAGTTCCCCAGGGGAGCCCTCAGACACAAGAGCAAGAACTCCCATGAAGAATGATGGGCCATTCCTGCATTCACGTTTGACAAAACATGAATGGCTATTGAGAGGCCACGCACAGAACTGCAAAGGCATTTACAGAAAAATCAAATTTTTCATAGTCATGAGAATAGTATGCAGTGTGTTACGGCTGAGGTGCTTCACCCAGAGATACACAAAAGCCAAATTCCTTGATCTTGAGCCATCTGTGACAATGTGAATGCCCTTAGGAAAGGGGAAGAGCCAGATTAAATTACAATATCCATCGGAGCATGAGAAGGGCAGGCAAAGGGCACAAAATGAGAGATAATTGGGGTCCTTTACCCTAGACCTTCCCCAGAGCCCACTTCACACTTCTGAATTTACTGACATTCCTGAAATAAGGAGCTAACACTAGTTCAGGATAGATTGAAAATTCACCAGAAGTCTGGACTATGGCTTCTGAATTATACTTGGTGAACACTAGAACAAATGAGTCATGTGGGATAAACTATGTCCATTCAGATGTTATAGCACACTGACAACCATGTTAGATAAGTTTAGGTATCTCAGTAATGCCCAATTCTAGAAATCAATGGATACCACCTGCCCTACACACTACCTTATCTCAATCAATCCTGACACACTAAAGGATGATCAGGAAGTGACTAACAGATGAGACTTTGCCCTAGCTGGTTCTGAAAGACAGACTTGAGTCTCTCCCTCTGTGGATGTCAGTTCTCCAGTCTTTCTATAGGAAGCTGGGTGTCTCAGAAGTTACCTGAGGCAAACTATGTCTTTTCAGATGTTATATCACACTGACAAGTCATGCTAGACAAGGTAAGCTATCTCAGTAATGCCCAATTCTAGAAGTCAAAGCACAGCACCTGCCCTACACATTACCTCATATCAGTTAATCCTTACACACTGAAGGATGCACAGAAACTGTCTGACAGATGAGACTTTGCCCAGGCAGGTTCTGAAAGCTCAGACTTGAGTCTCCTTCTCTGTGGGTATCAGTTTCCCATCTCTCTATAGGGAGGTGGATGTCTTAGAAGTCAGTTGGTCTTCTCTGTCTCCCTGCACAAGAGGACCCAGTGGACAACCTCTTAAGGTTTACTCACAGCTGTAGAGGATGCACTTTGGTTGAGGAGCCCTCAGCCATGTGCTGACAGATGCATGGAGATAATGGCTATTGTTATAAACACTTTGGTAGTATAAGGATGCCCAAGTCCCTTGCTCTGTGCTTCAGAGTCTCATGTTAATGGAAAAGCCATGCAGGGACAAAACATAGTCAACAGATTCACAAAGTCATCCTCACTGACAGTCCAGGACACCCAGAATTGGCAGGAAGGGGACAGTCTCAGTCCAGGTCCACTGAATCTAACAGCTCTTAGGCTGAACTGGAGACCTGTGTGCCATCAACAGCTGGAAATTCAGAAACCTCAGGGGTCATTGGAAGACAGCAGCACTTGGGGGCTCCTGCCATACAAGTGATTGTGATGTCAAGTATGAGAACCTCAGGGTTGTCCAGGGTACTCTCCTTTCCCTATTATCACTGGCACATATCTAAAGGACTCCAGTGGCTGTAAAACACAGTCATGGTACAGAAATCCCATTAATTCCTCTGTGCCTCCAACCCAGAAGTTCCCAGTTGTTGAGTCCTAGCTCTGGAAAGCTGAAGCCACCATATCCAGAAAGCTTCCCAGCCCCTTCCCAAAACTCACTGCCTCTTCCCCAGGACCATTTTCTACATGTATTCCAGGGAGACCCAGGACAAGCATCCTTCTGCCTCACTCTGGTCTCTCCATGTTGTCCATTCCCTCTGCCAAACAGACCTCTGAGTCTGGAAAGCATGTCTAGGGGCCAAGCTTGTGGTCACAGAACAAATGACCTCAAGGCAGTCAGTGTTGCTACAACACTAGTGACATCACTGGGGATTCCAAGAGCTGTCCAGGATACAACAGAATGTCCAGCAAAGGGTCTCCTGATGTCATGGGGCACAGCCTTTGCCTCCTTGCTAATTAATTCTCCATGAACTGACCAGAAGCTGTGGTTTCCTTTTCAGGAGTCTCTCCTGTGACACAGGGGAAGTCACTCAGCACCTCCTCCTTCCAAAGCTACAGATTTCTCTCTGCTTCATTAAATTATTTTCAGTAATTCACCCATGGGGAGTTGGAGACTCACTTTATAAACACTGTCCAAAATTGGCACTTATCCTCCTCACATCCATATCCAATAATATAAGAAATAAAGCATGCCAAGGAATTAGGTAAAGATGATGTGGAGGAGGAGAGTTGAGTTCTCTGAAGTGAGCAAGCACCTAGGGAAGGCTATGGTTAAGGAAAGGTGACTATTGGCAATTTATATGTGAGCTGAGACTCTTATGAGATCCTAACTGCTCTAGAATGTCCTCTCTACACTACTGGTGTCTTAGCCAGCATTCTCCAGAAGTAATACAATGACTTTCTAAGGAAAGGGTATTTGTTAGAATGGCTTACAGGCTGTGCTCTATCTAATTCAACAATATCTGGCTGTGAATGGAAAGTCCAAGAATCCAGTAGATGCTCACTCCTCAAGACTGGATGTCTCAGCTTGTCTGCAGTATATGCTGGAATCTTAAAGAAGTAGGCTTTAATGCCAGTCAAGGAATGGATGTGCTAACAAGGAGAGAGCAAGCAGAGAAAGAGTAAGAGCTTCATTCTTCCAAGTCCTTCCAACAAAAGGAGTTGTCCAGATTACACCTGGATTAAAGATCTGAATTAAAGGTGTGACTTCATCCCTCAAAGATCCAAATAGAATTAGGTCTTCATACTTCAAAATAAGCAGACATCTCCCACAGGTGTGCCCTCTATTTTGTGTTGTTTGTTAATCCAGATACAGTCACATTGACAACCAAGAATAGCCATCACAGTCTTATTCCCATCTTAACTAATACTCATGAGAAAAAGGCTCATTTAGACAGTGAAAGGAAGGAGTGACAATAATCAAAAATCACATCTGAGTCACCTGTAGATATCATAGTCATGATGACTTTTAGTGGCCTTTTTTGGGTCATGGATAGCTATATAGGATGAAATACTAGTCTTTGCTTTTGTGGGTAGGAGGGGATTCACTAGATACCCAGATACAAAACAATCTGGTCTCTCTCTAAAGTGTAGATTTGAAATTCAAATAATTATGTTATGGCTGGTAGTTACTCTGGTGAAAAAGGGTCCAAGAGATACAAAATGGGTTCTCTTCAAAGAAAAGAGAAAATAAACAGACTGTACCTGTTAGAAAGAGTGAGGTGGCCGGGCGGTGGTGGCGCATGCCTTTAATCCCAGCACTCGGGAGGCAGAGCCAGGCGGATCGCTGTGAGTTCGAGGCCAGCCTGGGCTACCAAGTGAGCTCCAGGAAAGGCGCAAAGCTACACAGAGAAACCCTGTCTCGAAAAACCAAAAAAAAAAAAAAAAAAAAAAAGAGTGAGGTGTCAGGAAGAGCCACATGAACACATCTTGCTCACTCTATTCATTCTCAGAAAGGAAAAACTCCTGTTTAAAAGGAAGACCCAGGAAAGCCTTCATTGTAAACAGCAGCTAGAAGCCTCCTGTTGCTTTAACAGAAAAAAGGTTTAAGATTTGAAGTTTTCTGATGGTCAAAGAGGCAGGATTTGGAGACAACAGCAATAAGAAACAAATCATACTCCAGAGTTAAATCATGTTACAGAGCTCACCACTGACACTAGCATGATAAGTGTGGACACTGCAGTGTGTGTCACCAAGAATAATGACAATAGACAATGTGCCTGGTGCTGCTTTAGAAGCTTTCAACATCCATGGCTCTCAAAATGGGATCTAGCCTTCCCCAAATCATCAAGCAGAATGGACTTCTCCATTTCTCTAGAACATGAGCTCTGGCATTCAGCTGATGATTCAGGCTTGTATTTGGGACCTGGCCTCTGTAGTAAGGGGTAGGGCTTCTCATGGGTACTCTTCCATCAAAACACTGCAGGATGATCAAAGGTGCTTTCAGTCATATCCACTTCCCAGGTCCATACTGCATCCTCCAGAAGGGGCTTCAGTAGTCAAATTTACCAACTTTTTCTTTGTAC